TGTATTTTACTTCACGAAAATAGAACGTCGACATTGAACCAATTGAGTTTGCACTTCAATCTGGCGAATCACGGGAAATTACTCTTCGATTTCGAGCTCCTACTAGCGTAGATGCGACCCTACTTCCAATCTATTCGGGCTTTATTCTTGCTACAAATCTCGTGAGCGGAGAAGTTGCTCATCTAGCATGTAAGTTTCAATTCATTATTATCAATTCATTGAGCACATCGCCACGCAGATGCTGGTGTTGTGGGTGATTATGGTAACGCTAGAATCATTGTGCGAAATGCGTCATCGGGTATCATCACTGGAATTCAAGATGCAAGAGGCCAATATATGGCCAATACGGGAATATCAAATTTGAATGCTACTGAAGGACTCGCAATCGTTATCGTTTTAGCATGGCCGACGCGTATTCTCGTCACAAATGTTATTCCACCTGAAGACAATGTTCAATTCGATCCGGAACTAGGGTGCTGCCTTTGCAATTTTGATGCACTGAATGAATAATCGTTTTTGGTTCTTTAGTTGCGGTATACTGAACGTCGGTGTAAATTGGCCAAGAAATGTTGCCAATGTCGGAGTTTATAGCTATACACAATTAGTAAGGTTGTCATGGAATGGTTTAGTTCATAAGCCGAGTTCAACTAATAATTCTTCTGGGGAAATACAACGCCTTGATCCGGGTCGATATCGAGTTCAATTTGCAGCTTTAAAACATTTTGGCAATCCCAAAAATTTCAGCGATTACGAGATATATCGCACATCCCCATTCAATTTAGTATTTTAATTCGAGACGATCATGCACCTTAATTAAACTGTTCTCTTTGCTGCTTAGTTTAATTATTACCCTGGAATTTTTGTGCTTCTCAATCATCTTTTTTCTCAAATTTTTTTTCGCGCAGAAAATAATCGTATGCCTTTAGCAAGCTTTTGTGAAGGATAACCAGTTTTGGGAACGTTAACAGCACTGCTATTCCTAGTTCTATTGTTAACAATTTAAATATTTATATTAGAAAAACTTTTAGCGCAATATCTGTAGGATTTAAAGCGTGAAACACGATCGAACTGGTAAAATATACCACATAGAACAATCTTCTTGTTTGGCTCAGCTAGTCACGGTGTGCAGGGAAGAAATGGGATCCAACTTTCTGCTCATAAACACTAACAGTCTCTCTCTCAAAGGTTCGTCTTGAGTCAGAAAAACATCACAAAAGGTCTGATGTGAAGGTAAGAGATGAGTATTTCTAAGACCATATACTTTCACTTTTACATTCGGAGTGCAGCCGACATTTATAACAGAAAAAAGACACATGACTTCTAAGAAACAGTCTAAAAGCCTTTCTTTCCGTCAATTTGATTTTCCATTCGGTTAATAAAAGTCCGTCTCATTTAACTCATCTACAAGAGCTGTAGCAAACGTCGCTACATACCTCGCTTTTCTACTATGGTTCAAAATCGAACTCATTCGTATCATTAATGTTAAGTTACTTTATACAACCTTTGACGTTTGTATGTTAATTTATTCTTTGAATGAAATACCAACCTGCTTATTATCCCATTCTCTGGTGGTAATTACTATCAACAGATGTTTTGTCACTCTTTATCCAATGAAAAGTTTTTTCAAAAGACAAACTTGGGATTATTTATCAATATCTGCACAGTGGGCATTCACTCTGCTCTCGATGATACCGTGGCTCATTTCTTCTTATCAAGTAAAATCTGAAAAATAACAAAGACACGTCTTAATTTCGTTTTTAGGTCTGTTTTTTCAGTATTTTCTGGGATAGTTGGACTTATACATCTATACTAGTCATTATAGTGGTATTTCCTATGATTCTTAGCCTTTTTTTTCAATTTAATCATCTTCATCACTGTTCGATCATCTGCTCGAAGTATTCATGAAACAACAACAACAATCATCGTTCTGTCTGAAGCTCCCACTCCACGGCAACAACATGATCGAGAAATGCGACTATACTGAAACACATACTTTTCATGTACTTCTCATGTTTGCAGTATTTGTTTTCTTGGTTGGGCACCACTTTTTGTTATTCCTGCTCTTCCCAATGCTATATACTACACAATACCATGATGGGCCATCAGTAGTTCACAAATCCCTTCTGCAATGATTTAAGTAGTGGATTTATTTATTTATAATTGTGAGATTCGTCAATATTTGAAAGAACGAATACATCACTGTCTGGGATGGATTTGCGCGTGACTAAAAGAAAAATTAGAAACGAGATAGTCTGGGACGAAGAAGCTGACGAATGTTTCTCTGTAAAACAGGTTTCTCTAATTAATTACAATGTAAACTGTTGAATTTGTTGATGTTGTGAATTCGAAAAAATATTTCCGCTAATCGTGTCATTTTGTTCTACGCAATATATTCTCATTAATATACAGAATTCAATGAAATTCATTTAAGTAGATGAAAATGCTTCGTCATGTTAGAAGAATCAAACATAGAAAAGCAGTTTAATGTATAGAGAATAGCATGCTGTATGATATCAAGTGAAAGATGTTTTTAACTTTGTTTGTAAAAAACTTCAAGCGCAATCGCAGACACACCATTTAAGGTGTGAAACATGATCGAACTGGTAAAATTTGCATACATAGAAGAATCGGTTCATTAACTTCCTGTAAGCTCCACAAGTGCAAATAGCATACATAATTCTCAGTAGCGATGTTCGAAGCTATCTCATGTATTATTACTCTTAATCGATAACGCGTCTGTGAGACACAGATGAAAATGGCGAAACGTCAAAGATATAACTTTCCAAATATGATCCACATATGCTCAAATTATCATTAAAAATATCAGGTTAAGATTATAGAATACAAAATTGTTGACATTGGGTTCATAAGAGGAACTACGTCACTCGTATGTGCGTGTTTAACGACTAAAGTTACACCCACACCCTCAAGATGTTTCTTACCGTATACCTGTTACAAAATCACTGCATGTTTTTTCTCTTATTGGCAGTTCTGTGATGTCGAGAGAAAAAGCTAAATCAAATATTCGGGTGTACGTACGATTAAGGTACACAGCTAGTTTTCTAGGAAATTACGATGCCATGCAGGTTCGCGAAGCGTACCGGTGTTCCATATCATCCCAATCCTGGTTCAAAGCACATCGCTCGCATCATTTATGACACTCGTCATATTTGAATGACACCAGTAGACTATAGAAATATCGAAGCGTTGTTCCAGATTAAACACAATAATCCAATCGAATAATAGCGTGAATCGCTACTAATGATCGCTCAGAGGTAAGACAAATATCTGAATTAAGTTTTCGTTTCGATGATGTTCTTGCAATGCTTCTTCGCAATACGTAACCATAGACATGTGCGATACATTCTTAAAATACTCGTGCGACTCACGGTCCATCCCTCATCTTGATCAAAATCTTCGAACTGGATCGTGATTTATGTTGACCATTCTTGTGCCGTGTTCGGTAATGATGCGTTGTTTCGCTACATGATAGAAACGTTAGACGTGATTGTTATTATTCAGAATATACGTGTTCAACGTTAATATGAACTATTCTCCTGACATGCGATGTCTAATCGCATATAGTCAATGACCAAGATGTTTTTCTTCAGTGAAGGTGAAGAATCATTGCTGTTTGAGGATATGTGCACATAACATAATACATTGGCAACTGTGTATAACAGATGACCACATTCGCTGAAAGTTGGATAGCGTTCATTAAAAATAACGCTTGTCTATGACACAATAGCCATAGTAGTGTGCCGTGTATGGTACTAATATAAACCAGACGACTAGTGCTTCGTCGTCTTGTCAAAGCATTTGGCAAAGTAACTAATATTCGATCAATGGAAGCTGGAAACACGAAAGTTAGCCGCAGAAGGTCTTATATATAGCAAATCGACACAGATCTAACTTGCTTGTAACAGATTTAAAGCTGTAACCAAGAGATATAACAGCTGGTGAAATGAGCGTAATAATACATGTGAAATACTGTCATATAAATCATTGTTGGGCATGTCTCGTGAAGACATGATTACGGGTGATAGTTGATGAACTAATATCATTACACACACAAGCGCCCGCTTCGCCGTATAATCTACAGCAAAATAGAGAACGACTCCTCTATGTATTTCTCTTTTTATCACGTCATTTTCAGTATCTGATATTGCTTATTTGAGGTATTCTAATTAACATATGTGGCACTTTTTCTCAATGGAGTCATTGAAACGTGAGTCAACGAATCTGAAGTAATCCGATGACTGCTCTAACTGTTAGATACATCACTGAGAACGTGTTGATTGATAGGCAATTTCACGTTCAATTTCAAAAAGGAAAGGGCGATTAATCAAAAACAGCACACTGGAAACACTCCTCCAGAAACAAGTGTAGAAGCAAGCAGTTTGTTAATCCCATGTAGACTGGTTGTGGCTATTGTGAACGCGAATAGTTTCCATTGAGTTATTAACTAAAATTAAGTATCTACGTTAATTACTGAACTTCATTTTCTGCACACTTGGGAACCACCAAAGTCTGATATTTGACAATGGAAGTGAAACGCATGTTCGTCGCTCTTAAAATGATTCCGAGATAGAATTATTCTTCTGATAAATCGTGTCTTATTAACCCTTAAAAGTCGGGATGTCTCTTCCTTCCAAGGGATATTGTATAATTGACCGTAGAACAAAATAAGTAATTCTCGTGCACGGTCGCTACTATTTTATAGACAGAGTGAAAGTATGATGAGGAAAAGCCGTGTTAAAATAATGGCCGAACAGTTAAAAATAGTTTTTAAAATATACAATTTTCACGTGTTTAATTCTTCTGCTACAAGATGCTCTATCATTACAAAAAATTCTATTGTCCGGTTACTTTTAGGCATAGTAAGCAAAGCTATTTTTAATTTTTCTTTGGAGTAACCAAAGAAGCCTCCTTCGGTTTTTAAGGATTAATATGCCATTTATTAGTTGAATAAGAATAGAAATTTCATGACTACATATAGATTACAGTGACATTAATAACCAAACAACTACGTTTGAAACAAACACGCAGAGTAAAACAAAGCTGAAAACTAAATAGTTTAAAATATTGCATTTGGCTTCCACATCTTTTTTTATTTTGCTTTTCGTTTTGTCTCTATCAAAATTGACTTGACAAGTTTCACATCGATCACAGAAATTGCATTTTGGGCTTCTTTTTGCCTTCATCTTGTTAACATGTTCAGAATTCTGTGTCATATCATTTGTATCACTTGTAACAGATTCGACATCTTCTGCCGGATTCTTTTGTGGTTTATCAGCATTTTCCACTACTACTCGTCTTCGAAGACATACGGAAAGTATCCTTTCACAAGACATACATCGATGTTTTGTTGTTTCTGCATCGTCCAAACTCATCAATTCGCCTTTGTTCACATTTAAATCGGTTTGCTTCGACTTCGAGAAACCGTTAGCAGATATTCTTTGTAATAATCCGGAGAAGTCAAAAAGTAATTTGGGCAATTCACCCTTCGATATGAAATAGTTACATATAACAAACCATAACATTGATATCAATGTCCAACACATTGATAATATGAAATACAATGTTATCATCATTAAATATTCTGATTGTTGTGGAAACAGATTCGAGAAAGTCAATGAATTGACCGAGTATGTCATAAAACAGGTCATACCTAAAATATAAAGATGATTTCTTCAAGTGAAGAAATAATAGTGGTTCTGCTCGAAATGGCACTTTATTCTCGATTGCTCAAAATAAGAAAACATGCTTACATAGACCAATTTGTGAGGTAAATGGTAAGCCAAATGCCAGCAAAGTAACACAATTCAAGACTAAACATGTAAATATACCATTCATGATATAAAATAATGGTTTTCTCTTCAAATATAAATTTATTGTTATTACATCATTAGAAGCATCTTCATACGGCACTCGATCGGATTTTCTGATTACATCCAACGAGACGTTCTTTAATTTCCACAACGGATGTTCAATATAGTCCGTGATATCAATGACTGTACTAGCATTTTCTGTATAAATAATTCGATTCGATCCTTGACTCCACGAGGTGAGATTGATGCTACACATTTGATAATCAAATGGAAAATTTCGAATGAGTAAACTACATCGTGTTTTCACTGCTAATGCTGGTAGTATCATATAAACGCTACCTGTAAAATCAACAGATGCTAAACTGTAAGTGTTGATTGTCAAGTAACCACTCGAGTCTGCTGAGTTTAATATCATTGTATCGGGTATCCATAAGTTTTGAACTGGTAACATGACGACACTTATATTATCGTTCGTACTCGGTGTCCATGACAATCGCTCGTCAACCCATGCTTGTGAGATAAATGAACTAGACGTCATTATTTGTTGTTTTTCGTCGAGAGACACTATTTGTTGCAATGAAGCTGTAATATCCACATATACTGGACTATCTGGTTTGATATTTTTATTGTATCCGCTCAATAAACTTGTTATCAATGTTTGCTCCGACAACTGCGTGGCGGATAGTGTTCCACAATTGTACAAATGGAAGGAATAGAAGAAGAAAATGATAAAAGGTATCACTGTCTTCATGACAAGACTATTGTCTGTAAATTATGATACTATTACTGAAGAAAACCTATTCAATCGGCCGATCGATTTTCTCATTTGAGGAGAGAGAGAAAAGAAATGTTTGCTTTTCATCCGATGGCATCGGTAAACACTGAAAACAAATACGCTTCGGAAAATGTTTGCCATTTGATCACTATTCACACTTTCTCTATGCAAATACGTGATATTCAGTTATTCAAAATGTTGCTGGCATCCGTCTGCATTGGATGTGAGTGAAGTACAAAAAAAAGTTCTATCATGACATAGTCAGTATATTGAAGAAGATATCAGTGTACTTGTTCCAGTAAGATGATGCAATCGCTGGTTGTATGTTGTAAAGATATGATTACGAACGATTCTTGCTGAAATCTCTCGCTCTATTGCTGGTGACTTCTCGGCCGTAACAAAATGGGATAGTGAGTATTTTCATTATCTCATCTGTAATGCTCTTTGGGAATATGTCAGATGATATACATTTTTACACTAAAGTTCAGAATTCAGAGTCGCTAGTTTCATGTTGGATATTTATAACTATATTGATTGGACTTAAGTTTCATCTGTTTACCGGCTGAAATCAAGTATAAACAACGAAATCAGTGTGCTTAATTTTCTTTATACCTGAATATAGAGGACAATCAATGTTCACTCGAAATGGAGAAAGATAGGAGCACTTCTTTTGAATGTGTATTACCGTACATGTCACTATGATGAAAAAGAATTTAGTATTCACACCGTAGAGTTATTAGATAATGATAACTGTCGACAATTGACCAGAAATTAAAGCATTTTCTGGGCTAATTCAATACTTTCAAGTACTTTCTGATGTTGGAGATGATACGTGGGAAGAGATTGTTTCCATATAATTTCAGCTTGTTGAAATAAGTACAAAGCTTTTGAATAGTCTTTTGTATTATAATACGATTCGCCAGTCTTGTTATAGGCAGTAGCTAAATGTGGATGATTGTCCGGAAGACTTCTCTTACTGATCTCCAGATCCTTTTCGCAGTAATAAAGTGCCTTTGAATACTCTCCTATTTGATTATATACCCAGCCAATATTGCCATATGTAGTAGCTAAGTCAGGATGATCTTGAGAAAGAGTTTTTTCTTGGATTTTCAGTGCAGTTTCGCTATACATCAGAGCTTTTGCGTATTCACTCATTTGAAGATACACTACACCAATATTATTATACGTAGTGGCCAAGTCAGGATGGTTGTCAGAAAGAATGTTCGTTCGCATACGAAGCGCTTTTTCGTAGTAGACTAGCGCTTTCGAGTATTCTCCCATCGTCTCGTACACAATAGCAACGTTGTTGTAAGAAGTAGCTATATGAGGATGATTTTCCGGAAGACTTTTCTGTTGAATACTTAGTGCCATCTCGTTGTTGAACAAAGCTTTTGAATACTCTTTCATATTGTAATACACTAAGCCGATATTGTTGTAAGAAACAGCCAGATCAGGATGATTTTCTGGAAGACTTGTTTTAGTAATTTTTAAATCTTTCTCGTAACATGATAATGCTTTTGAGTATTCTCCCATTCCATCATATACTGAGCCGATATTGCTATACGTAATACCGAAAGAGGGATGATTTTCAGGAAGAACTTTTTCTTTGATATCAAGTGCCTTTTCATGGCTGGACAATGCTTTCGCATACTCACCCATCCGTTTGTAGACTTCACCAATGTTGTTATACGAAATAGCCAAATCTTGATGATTTTCCGGAAGAAATTCTTGCCGTATATTTAGTGACTTTTCGTGATAGGACAGTGCTTTCGCGTACTCTCCCATGTTACTGCATATCTCACCGATATTGTTGTAAGAAATAGCTAAATCTCTATGATTCTCAGGATGAGTTTGCTGGCGTATCTGAAGTGATTTTTCACAGTATGATAATGCTGTCGAATATTCACCGATATTTTGATACATTTCACCGATACTGTTGTAAGAAGATGCCAACTCAGGATGACTTTCTGGTAGAGTTTCACGTTGAATATCGAGTGCCATTGCATAATATCGAGCGGCCTCTCGGTACTCACTCTGTTTGTTTTTGATAATACCTAACTGATGATAATACACACTTTGATTATTACGATCCGACGACTTTTCAAGTAGAGTGTCATAAAGATCTTCCGCCTTTTCTAATTGCCCTATGTTTATCAAAAGCGATCCAATTCGATCCCACCCTTGTTTACGGCGAGCGTCCTCTTCCAGATAAGTCATAAGAATATCCAATTGTTGATCACTATCATCCGTCAGAGTCAGCTGTACTTCGAAACAACGCTCGTTCGCGCCCATAGGTGCTATTTGTCCAATCCGGAAAACTGTGTGCATTGAAAATAGCACTTCAGCCTCATTGTTAAAATAACTAACGTCTTGAATATCAGCAAACGGTGTTGAAGTTAATTTTGTATCAATGATCATAATGAAAAGAATGCCAACATTGTCGTTGTTTTGTGAAGTAGTCTGAGCATAGAAATGAGCAATGTCTCGAACTTTACTAGTTGAGAGAAAATTGTTGAATGACATCAGACCACCTTTACTTTTCCTGAGTTTTTCAAACGCTCTTTTATTCAAACATTGCCCGCGATAAACAGTAAAAATTCCTTCCTTATATTGACTCAACTGCTGTTGATGAATTCTTTCGATTTGCTTGTGAGTATCGTAAACAAAGAAGCCCATATTAACAATAATATTCGCTTTTAACAGTCTAAGAGACTCATTCAGCAATCCATAGATAAAACAGTCTCTCGAATACCACCAGATTGCTCTATCCGGTCGATAATCTTCATTGAACTCTTCAATCATTTGCGGCGAACTAATATTTGCTTTCATGCAATACGACACGAAGAATTGACGTTCTTCTTGAGTATGCTCTATGTCGAACAAAGCACTTTTTAATAATTGAGTATGCATAAATGATGGCTCCAATCGATTTAGATCCACGACGGAATCATCTTCATTTGACTCGGTAAAACTCATTGCGATAGAGTCTTGATTCGATTTCTTTACAGTCACTTGAAGTGTATCGCACATTTCTTCGATCTTTGTAAATATTCCTCTTGATTTGACTTGGCTTTCCATCTGTTCATGATAACGGCTTTCACGATCATAAATAATATACGTAGCCTCTACTTGCGGAAAACTGCTGATTTCATGAACTACATCTTCATCATAGCAACCAGAAATAACCATAAATACTTTGTCCTCTCTGTATTGCTGCAAGAAACGCATGCATTCGTTAACTTCTGTGAAGTTGTACACACCGTTAAAAATGTTGCATAGCTGTTTGTACGCTTGTTGATATTCTTTATCTATTAAGTTGAAATCAGCGCTTAGCCAAATGAGGAATGATCTTGGCACTATTTGTCGACGCATTCGATGGGATTCGACCATACTCATTCTAGTAATATCCGCGGAAAAGTTTGTCATTTGACTCACCCTTTTGCTGTCAACCGATGAATGACTCGTGCCTAATAGAATATAAACAATATACAAACTTTGGTTAGCGAAGATCAGGAATTATCTTTACAATAATACAGAGCATTGTAAATGAAGAATTTCATAGAAAGCTAATCCGGTGTGATAGTGAAAATTATCTTAACAAAAGCTATGAAAAATTGTAAGCACTTTTACTTCCATTAAGGTCATTTTTATTGAAACGAAGATAAAGGGCAAAAGGCAAATCTCGTGTTTTGATTACCTCTGAATATCAATAGTCGCGATCCGTTCTTTTTCTTTCTTACAGTTATCGAACGATATCGTTCTTGTATATAGCACATTCTTACATAGAAGCGAACGAACAAAGAATGGAAAAAACCTAACACGTCAGCTTAGAGGGCCAACATCATGTGTATAACATATGGAAATCAGAGTGACGCAATCTGACTTCAAATTTTTTGTCATATTACTAAAATAATTTGAGTATAACACTACATATGATGTTAACACTTAATCGTTCACTGCTTTGTCGACAATGCACAAAAGGGGAAAAGTGTACCACTAAATGTGCCGTACTGTGTATTTGGATTCTTCTAAAAATATACTTTCGCATCTACTCGAGTGTTATGCAATAACAGATTTTTCTTACATAATCACATATCCGCCCAAAACGATTCTGCGTGTAATTCGTTTATTTTATCATTGTTGTTTTTTTTATTCAACCGGTATGATTTATAAATATCTTTAACAAAAAATGTCCGACAATTTTCAATGAAGCACTTTTAACCTGCATTTTGGTATTTATCTATGCTAGAATTATGGAAAGGCGAAAGCTCAGTTTAGACTCCGTCGCGATTCCCGATTTGATGAAAGTATTGCCATGAAATATGCCATTTCATCTTCTATACTCTAAATATATAACAATGATATAATTTTTGAAATTAGATTTGCTCACTAATTACTATTTCTAATGTTAGATTATTTTCTGCATTTTTTTAAATAGTATTTTTAAACTATAATAATACGGGCAAAAGGAATCAGTAGGTAAACCGTGTACTTCCATCTCTCGAGGAAAGTTTTTCAATTAAAATTCAAAAGGATAAGCAAATGTCTCTTGACTATATACTTTGTAGCTAAACGACGCAGCGCACTAATCCTTCGAAAGGTATTTTCTTTACTTCTTTGATTGTCATCCCGAGACAAAATGCAAAGATGTGCTTCTATTATATAGCCGATAGAAATTGATCCTTTTTGATAGCAACTTATAATTATATTATTTTGTTCCGTTGTCAAGATGCACAAAATGTCCTTAGCATGAAATTTGCAACGAAAGTTCATTGAAGTATGTGATGACTAGATGAATAACATAATAGTTCTCTTTAGTGGAAACTAAATTGCGTCAAAGTTGACATATTCTAGAAGTTTATAATTATGCTCTTTTCTAGGCTTTTCATAAACTCATCTTCTGATGGACGTGAAAATATACTAGCTATTTCTAATATATCAGTCGCATTAAAACTCGGAATGGCGTCGAAGACTTAGTTGTCCACGCAGACCAAAACTCAAATTACCTAATGCTCTTAAGGCCACTTAGCACTTATCTCATATATATGCGATCTTTTTTTACTATAAATAAAACGATCCAAATAACATTTTTTACCGTTTTTTTATGATCGCCACTTCAAGTTATATAAAGACATCCACTAAAAACCTTCGACTTAATCCGCCAATAAAGTCACTATTTTAATTAGAAGCTTATTTTACAAGATTCTGCATATACGTTCTCCTTCCTTGTCTGAATCATATCTGAGAATAATTCGTCTTCGGTGGTTATGGAATCCTGGTTCATCCCATTGGATATTTTTATGATCATTTGTCTCATTTTTGTTATTCTACCAAATCTTATCTTCTTATTCATTATTGTAGTTGATCGAACATGTCATACAGTTCCTATGATTCTCACTGCCAACTCATGTCTAGCACAAGTTGCTTTCGCAAGCGATCTACTTATTATCAGTGGATTTACACTGTACAACGATCTCAGACAGATTCGCGGTCACTATTTTCTTTGCACATTTGCTGGTTACTTGACATATGTGACTTGTGCAGTGCTCAACTATTCTTTTCTCCTACAAGCATTCTATCGATATCTCACAGTTGTTTATCCAACACGTGTGTTCTGGCAAAGAAAACGAAATCAACTACTCTTCGTTGGTGTCACATGGGCATATGCACTGTTGTTTCCACTGATCTTCGTATTTACTGGTCAGATTGTATACAACGCTGACAATCAGATATGTCAAGTACCATTCAAGCTTTCAGTTTCAATGATGTTCGCAGCATCTTGTGTTTATGTCATTCCTGTCGTAATGACAGTTGCTATCTACTGGAAATTAGTTCACTATGTTCATGAAATGAATCAGCGTACAACATCTGTGAACAGGATAACACGTGCACAACGAGAACTGAAGATGTTTCGTCGTACTGTGACGCTTTTGATGATACTATTCGTCATAGATTTTCCTTATGCACTATTTATGTTTATGTCGTTTTTCAATCGTGCACCACAATACCATTTTCGTATTGCATATGTATTTGTTGACATCGCCTTGGCTTGTGTGATGGTTGCACTGTTTCAGTTTACTGATCCATTGAAACAGTCGATTCGGCAAAGATTTCATTGGCATTCAGAAGTAGTCGTGCAAGCATTGAATTGAATAAATAAACGATATTGTTCTATCAAGACGATTGCTACGAGTATATGACTAAAAGTATGGAGATCAAAAACATTTCGCGTGCGCAAGATTTTTGTGTTCATTTTTGAGCACAGAAGAATATACATGTATATTGTAATGCTTCAGTCAGACAATGAGCACCTCCGTCTTCAACTTAATTACCGTTCAGATTGACTGTAGTAGCTGTAGCTATATATGAAGAGAGAGTTGATAAATTGTGTTTCTCACTTTCTGCTGAGAAAATTTCATTTCTGATGGTACGAGCCTAGTTTTCTCCATCACGACATTTACTATAGATTACTTTCGTGAGCATTAAACCGACTAATTTCTCATTAATTGACGTCAGTAGATTCTCGTCTTCACAAGCTTTCTCTTGGTGTATCGTTCATTTATAAGTATTTTTATCCGAACCAATGATCTATACCACAGTCACTGACAGGTTAATAAAGTAAGAAAGATTTCGAAAGAGAGTAGGTGCTTCGCGAAAACGAAAGAATGAACTTCACCCGATATCGGTCATACGTGTTTTAGAATATTATTATAACGTTGACAAACGTTTTGTATTGAATAGGGAAGTGTAAAAGCACTCATAGGATACGAAGTCCGGTAGCGCAACTTTACCGATAGAATAACGAAGCAAGAATTGTTTTCGTTAGCCACAATTGAAGGTTGACGAAGTATGTTTACCTTCATATGGATGTATTTTTCTTTCTTCTCTTTCAATTATTCGTTGACAGTCATCAAATTGTGCAAGGTACTGTTGAAAAAGAAAGCGGATGAGAATACTATTCTTAACTATAACTACTTTCGAGTCTATAGTACTCTTTAACACTTTTCATTGAATGACTAACGAAGACATTACTCTTTAAAAAGAGTCCTTTACCACTGGGCCAATAATTCATGAATAGATACATCGTAAACCGCTTGATTAATCAACGTCACGCATATCAAAGCTAATGCAGGATAATCATTCATACCAAATGTCATATTCATTTTGCTACTCTTAGTTGTTCTCTCTTTACACAACCGCAGTCCATTTATATATGTATATTAAATCGATTCTGCTACATTATGTAAAGAATTTATTTCATAGACGTTCCGCCACTTCGCCGCATTCGATACTTACTCCCCTAATGATGTCACTGCTATATACATGTCGTATGTATTTATGTTCTGTTCTGTTCTGTTTTGCTTTTATTGGACTATTTCTTTTACATAAGCATGCGAAGTATCCTTGTGTTCCCCACAACTCTCGTTTGTACAGTGTCGCCAAAATCAGATTATATTTTCACCTAAAAATCAAGAGCTCAGGCGCACCAACAGAATGGATATTTACGTGCAAGCATATCGTTTGCTAATTAGTCAAAGATATGAATCAATCGGAACTATCATGCACAACACGCCCATTTATAAATTAATTTTTTTGACAAGGTATTGAATCATCAACCTTTCAAGAACAGGAAACGTAGGTTGCTGTTATTACTAATGGCCAAAAAAGCAATAGAAACTAGAAACATACTCATGAAGCACGTTGTACATCGATCAATAACTCAGTATTCGAATGAAAAGTGACTTTTCTTCGGGCGTATATTTTATTGCATTTATGTGTTGACAGTCGGCAGTGACAAATAAAAAGTAAAGTGCGAACGACGCAAAATAGTCATGAGTCACGAGAGCGAAGAAATTTTTATAGGGGAGGAACTCTAATGTAACAGAAAAAGTACATCCAGACGCGATGTATAAAACAAGATGAGGCGAAGTTTAGAGTGCCATTGACAGATGATAGAGTCAAACGAAATAAGCAGTCGCCATTTTTTTCTCGTTCTTTCGCTGATTCTCCGTATCTCTATTCACTGCCTTGATAATTTTTATATTGCTTATCACATGAGAAGAATCTCTAGTTCTGTTAACTGTCATAAATATGTAAGTTTCATTTCTTCTAAAGAAAGACATTGAATTAATTTTGAGCTTTTTATTTAAATAAGTCGCTGACATGAGTTGCATCTGCGTGTAGGAAATTCTTTTATGTATGTATAAGAAATTCAGAAGAAAAAAAGAAAACTTGTAATATATCTCGGATTGCAAATCATACAATCACGTTAAGTGAGTTCGTATTTTTTTCACCCGAACTCAAATCGAACAGAGTAACTGCGGAAATTAGTAGTACGGGTTGACTTTTCTAGATGACTGTAATTGCAAATACGACAAAAGACTCTCATGGCGGAAAAGAGCACGGAGCGACAGGGACAGTGATATTATTTTTATCGTTTGCTGTCTTAGCTGGATGTTTATGCAAATTAATTCTTTCTCAAATATTAAAAAACAAATTTCCTGCACCATTTACAGTCATCGTTCTTATATTCGGATTTACAATTGGCATAATCGTGTCTTATATTCCTGTGATGAACAATGATTTTCTACTCGGCGAAAACGAATTGAAAAATATCAATCCCCACTTGATTTACTACATTTTCTTGCCTTTGCTCATATTTGATTCAGCTTTCAACAGTCGTTTTCATGTTATTCGACCACATATCGTATCCGCAATACTTCTCGCGGGTCCCGGTGTACTCATATCGATAGCCGTTGTTTCCACATTCGCCGTCTTTGTGTTTTCTTACCAATGGTCATGGTTAGTCAGTATAATGTTTGGAAGTATATTAAGTGCAACGGATCCTGTCGCCGTTGTTGCATTATTACATGAGTCCGGGGCGAGTAAATCATTGGCTGCACTGATTGATCTTGAATCGCTATTAAACGACGGATCTGCCTTTGTTATATTTATGGTATTTCGGGACATAATTGTCGGTGGAAGTGACAGCGCTAAGAAAATAATCGTCGATATTGCCAAGTTTACTATTGGTCAGTATAGTATATTGATTGTAGTTTATATTGATGTAACAATATAATTTTTGTAGGAGGCCCGCTGTTCGGTATAGTCTGTGGTATTGCTGCGGTGATTTTCTTCAATCTAGTTCATAACGAACTTGAAGTGGAAATAATCTCGACATTCGGCCTTGCTTATCTGGTTTTTTACGTGGCAGATGTTGAACTCGGCGTTTCAGCTGTATTAGCCTTGGTAGTCATGGGACTTTTCATGGCCAAGAACAAATATTGCATTAGTAGTCACGTTCAAATCTCAATGAGCAATACTTGGAGGATTATCATCGATTTTGCCAATATTCTCATATTTATCATAACCGGAATTATTTTAGCTCATTCACTCATCGGTACAAAAGCAACTATAGTTGCATACGACTTCGGATATTCAATACTATTGTACATTGTCCTCCATCTGGGTCGCATGCTATCCGTCGTTATCTTCTATCCATTGATGCGTTGGAGTGGTGTACGTTTTTCCTGGAAAGAACATCTGGTTCTAGTTTGGAGTGGTTTACGAGGAAGCATGTCGGTTATTTTGGCTCTTATGGTCGATTCTGACGAGCGAATCGATTTGGAAACGCGACATCGTTATCTCTTTCATATCTGCATGATATCTCTTCTCACGTTGATTATCAATGGAACAAGCAGCAAATTCTTAGTGCGAGCCCTTGGCTTAGATCATGGTAAGTAGAGATTTGACGGTGAAAAGAGAAACTTATTTTTGAAATTTAGGTACGCCGGAAAGTGAACGCATTCTATTACAAGCCCTTGAACATATGCGTCGATTGACAGCAAATCAACTGCATCGAATGAAACAAGAAAAACAGTTTTCAGATGTTGATTGGCACATGCTCGATGAGTATTTACCGGAAAAATTAGTTCAAGAGATGGATGCCGAACGGCAAACAAGTGTTCATCGACGATTGTCCCTCCTATCAGATTTCGATCCAAATTCTTTATTGACTTCTGTTCAACACCATTCGATCGTCCCTACTGAGTTACAGCAAGTTCCAAGTATATGTGAGACCGATAATATTCCGATCAATGTTGCGCCCGAAGACAAGAATCCAACGATTAAACATCTCGTCTTGCCACTGTTCGGTTTCCTTGGGGATGAGAAGAAAGAAAATGTACGTTTCCGGGACGAATTGACCAATCGCTTCCTAACAGCATTCTTAGTCGACTATGAAAAGCAATGGTATCGAGGAATGATCCGTCGACGCACACTCTATATCTTAATTAAATCAGTTGAAAAAGCTAAACATCAACATTCATTAAAGCTTCATTGGGATCTGATTGTTGAACATTTTCGATTGTCGAAATGGTTGAGAACTCTCATACGATTCGATTGTGTTGATTATATTACAAATCAATCAAACAAACTTCTCTTCGATCATATTTTTCTCACAATCGAACTAGTTCTCGCTTTCCATTCAGTACGAACTCGTATGAATAAAATTCAGCAAGAATTTCCTGAACTGGCAAACATTGATAGAAATATTTGGAACAAAGTTTGTGAAGAAACGCATTTCTACCACATGACCGCCTCTTACATTCTTCTTGATCTGCAGCAATCCTATGGACTCTGTTGGCAGATCCATATGACGAAACGTTGTGCGCAAATATTACTGAAATATGAATCGAAAATGATCACTCAACTGTATGAAACTGGAATGCTTGGTCACACTGTTTATTCACATATTTCTGAATTAATCGAAAAGAAATCATTGAAACTGGAATATTATCGTGTATCCATACCTAAAGGTACTTCGCAACCGATCGAAGATGCATTCAACCTATTGCCACTGTTCCAATCATTGCCAAGTGAAGAAAAAGCACGTTGGGAAAGGATTCTTAGAACCAAACGCCGATGGTTTCAACCAAACAAAGTTCTTCTAAAAAAAGATAAAACTGTATCGACAGCGTATCTTATCGTTCGCGGCATTGTCGAATGCAATATCGACTCGGTGCCTATCTATTATCGATCGGGTAACATTGTCGGTATCGATGCCCTATTCTCACAAGATAATCTATCGAACGGAACTTATTTTGTTAGTGGTGGACTTCTAGAAGCTTACGTTATCGATAACCNGCAAGCGATCTACTTATCATCAGTGTATTTACATTGTACAACGATCTCAGACAGATTCACGATCATTATTTTCTTTGCACATCTTCTGGTTACTTGACATATGTGACTTGTGCAGTACTTAACTATTCATTTTTACTACAAGCATTCTATCGATATGTCACAGTTGTCTATCCAACACGTCTGTTCTGGCAAAGAAAACGAAATCAACTATTCTTCGTTGGTATCACATGGTCATATGCACTGTTATTTCCACTGGTCTTCGTATTCACTGGTCAGATTGTATACAACGCTGACAATCAGATATGTCAAATACCACTCAAGCTCTCAGTTTCAATTATATTGGCAGCACTCTGTGTTTATTTCATTCCTGTTGTAATGACAGTTATAATCTATTGGAAATTAGTTCACTATGTTCATGAAATGAATCAGCGTACAACGTCTGTGAACAGGATCACACGTGCACAACGAGAACTGAAGATGTTTCGTCGTACTGTGACACTTTTGATGATACTATTCGTTATCGATTTCCCTTATGCATTGTTCATATTTATGTCATTTTTGAATCGTGCACCACAATATCATTTTCGTATTGCATATATATTTATTGACATTGCCTTGGCGTGTGTGATGGTCGCACTGTTTCAATTTACTGATCCATTGAAACAATCGATTAAACAACATCTTTGTCTGTGATCAGCAGCAGTTGTGTGATACACAACGGGAATGTTTTACTGAACAGCTTTGTCATTGTCAATAAAGGTATGGAAAACAAATATCTTACAACTTCAGCTGTTCATACATGCAAACTATGACACAGTATCAACCGTTGAGAAATGATACCTAACTATATCTTTTCAGAAAAGAGCGTTAGCTAGTTTGTCTTCTTCAACTTTCAAGAAGTAAATCATGCAAGTCTAATTTCACAGTTAGTCTTTTCAATAGCATTTAAGGCCTGGAATGATTAATATCTAATACAAAAGAGGATAGAAGGCAACTTGCTGCATTGATCTCAGAACTTCACGTTTGTTCTTCAAAAAAAGATACAACTCGAATAGTTGCTGAATTACGACGACAAAAGGTCTCAGTCAGACAATTGAAAATGTGGATTGAGTGGAATGAACAGTTTCGTTCGACTTGTTTCACGATTCTGTTAATCGTACAACTCTTCTTATCTATTAATTTCCCCATCCTATCACTAAGTCATCATTCTGTCATCCTATAGGTAAAAAAATCATATTGACAAGAGAATTGTCAATGACAAATAGAATGTATGCGGCAAATGCGTCATCGTCGATAATTGACATATTCCTTTTGGTGTTGCTTTATTTGAGTTAGATTTATTTTCAGAGTAAAGAAATCTGTCATACACATGAAATGTGATACATTGGTGCGGCGATTTGCACTACTGTGTGTCAACTTTTTTTTGATTCTTTATTTTCAACGATTGGTTTTCTCGTCTTATATGTAATATTAAGTTTCGCTAAACTTCTTATTAAATGATGACAAATAACCTTCAAATTACACGTTTGATGATGAATCCAAGATCCTCTACGATTTATAGAATACCTTACGATGGTGATAACATACATAGACAGAAATACACTGGAAAAAGGTAAAACGAACAATTATATATGATATTCTTATTCATTTTTCATACAAACAAGAGACAAACGTTGTTCTATAAAGTGGCTGATAGCTATTTTGATCGCCGTTATAGTTGGTTTGGTAGTTGTGTGCATCGTCCTGGCAATTATACTTGCAACTAAATCGAAATTGACCGGTACGAAATTTGAAATGATAATCCTATTGACTGAAATATAGTATTGTAGTCGAACCTTCACCTGGAACGACTGAATCTCCGATGAAACCTCAGTCTCAGTCGTTTATTACAAGATGCAAGCCAGAAACGCCGTTGGGAACAGAACAAAGAAAAATCCAACATAAAAAACTGATGTTACCGTCGGCTCCCGAAAGAGTTGGCGATCATATTCTATTGAAAAACACTTATATGGTCGAATATTTGTCTGACATCGATGTTGAAAAACATTTTCGAATGATTACCCATTCTCTAAGATCATCCAATCAAATTTCTCAATCAGAAATTCAAATTCAAACAGTCATTCGCTCGTCTTTATTTAACGGTGCTTCATTTTCGGTAACTACAAACGATCCAATCGAAGCGTTAAAATTGATCGAAGATGCGATTGATATACAGCCGGTGTATTTGATTCCTGCTCCACATACGTTTGACAAAGCTGTATATTCGGATATATCAATTGACACGCAGAATTATTTGATTAATGCTTTCGATTTGACAGGTGTTGACAAAATTCATAAAAATTTCAAAAATTTCGGAGAAGGCGTCAGAGTAAACAGATATTCATATTATATTCCAATTGTTTTAATTACGTAGGTCGCTGTCATTGATACCGGTGTGGATTACTCTCATCCAGCTCTTGGAGGCTGTTTTGGACTGGGTTGCAAAGTTGCATTCGGTTATGGTAAGTAAAACGATCAAAAAGAGTCGTATTTTTTTTTCTATGAAACTAAGTATCTAGATCTAGTTGGGGACTTATTCACCGGAGCTAATCAGATAATAGTACCTGATGATAATCCTATGGATGATTGTAGTACAGAATCGCATGGTATCTATTGGAAATATACTTTTCATTCTCTATTACTAATCCTTATGCAGGGACTCACGTTGCTGGTATTATTGCTGCAAATACCACTGGAATTAATGATACATTCTTCAATCCTTCCGTGCCATTCAGCGGAGTTGCTCCTAATGTCGTGATCGGTGCATGTAAGTTATCATTAGAGTTTCCTACTGAAGGTTTATAATTTCCATTCGTAAAAAAGACCGGATATTTGGATGTGCTGTTGGTTCAACGAGTTCGGGTATATCTAACTAATTCGATACTGTTCAAACTGCCAATATGTTTACTAATTTATGAATAGATGTGCTTGCTGCCGCAGTGTACCGTGCATATGATGACAAAGCTGATATAAGTGAGTATTGTTAGATGCAAAAGCTAAAAATTTGAATGGTATCGTAATATTTTCAGTAAATCTATCCATCGTTGGGCCCAGTTCGTATGAAGAAACAATTCAAATGACAGCTGTTCAACGTGTATCCAATATGGGAGGTAAAGACATTTTATCCGAAAGCTACCGTGTAGTTCATATCACATACAGTGTATGTTTCCATTGCTATGGGAAACTCTGGAACTGGCGGCTTGCAAACCGGTGGTGAACCTGCTATTTCCTCAGAAGGGTTAGCTATTGGTTCGGTGGATAATACGTACACATTAAAACATGTAATCATTGCCCCTGACGGTAATAAAATTTTGGCTATAGCTGGACAAGCATTTGGCCCTTGGATAACGAATTTCAGCGCCACAATTGATGTCTACAGTCAGTTATTATTCTCACAAAGATATTTTACTCTTTTAACGGTATTTAGATCGCGATGGCGGTTGTTCTCCTATAAACAAGGCACTTACTGGTATGGTGATATTGTTCGCTGTCACTGGTAGAGATATATGCAATTCTTATACCCGATGCAATAACGCGGCAAATGTTGGAGCAGTAGGATGTCTCTTCTACAATATCAGTGCTATTGGCGGTATTACTCCGGGTTCCTTTTTCTCTTCTACGAGTCATTTTTTACCAAGGTTTCAATAAGATTCCTAATGGAGCTATTAGTCTTCAAAATGGTCTGCGTATAGTTTCTACGGTCAATGCCAATTCGTCTGCTATTTACACATTTACTAATCTACTTGATCTGACGCCCATGGTAAGTAAACTGAATAAGAGTGTATGTTCTTCATTTATACCTTCGATATATATAGGAAACTGCTGTGACACCTAGTTCGTTTTCATCATTTGGACTCACTGGTGATCTGTTATTCAAACCTCAACTTAGCGGCATTGGTGGTGATGTTTACTCGACAATATCGGCTGCTATCGCTCGACAAAGGAAATATCCTACGCCATATATAATCAAGAGTGGCACAAGTATGGCAGCTCCTTATGTCGCCGGGTATGTGTTTTCGATTATTTCTATTATGAAAGTTTCTTTTCGTAAGTGTTCTTGCTCTATTTCTGGCACATATTGGTAATCCTGCTCCATATACAATAAATGGTTATGCCGAGAGTGGAATATGCCGTCCTAAAATGTCTCTAATCAAAAATATCATGCAATCCAGTGCTAAAATAGTAAAAATCCGTGATTCACCTCTCGCTGCTACAGCGGCTGTGCAAGGAGCTGGGTTAATAAATGCTTTCCAAGCTCTGACTGCTACTACGATCTTTTCACCGAGTGAACTTGCATTGAATGATACAGTGCGAATAGCCTCGTCACATAGAGTCAATGTTACAAATATAGGTAACAAAAGTGCGGTGTACCGGATGAGTCATGACGGAGCGGCTTTGGCAACAGGCGCGCGCAAAGGTGATGATCAACTTTTGCCTACACCGCTATTTTCAGCTCATTATGCTGTAAGTTTTGTAACGTAAGGAATTCTCGTACGTTTTATTTCACGAAAATAGGACGTCGACATTGAACCAATTGAGTTTGCACTTCAATCTGGCGCATCACGTGAAATTACTCTTCGATTTCGAGCTCCTGCTGGCACAGATGCAACCCTACTTCCAATCTATTCAGGTTTTATTCTTGCTACAAATCTGGTAAACGGAGAAGTTGCTCATCTGACATGTAAGGTTCAGTTCATTATTATCAATTCATTGAGCACATCTTCACGCAGATGCTGGTGTTGTTGGTAATTACGGTAATGCAAGAATCATTGTGCGAAATGCGCCATCCGGTATCATCACTGGAATTCAAGATGCAAGAGGCCAGTACATGACGAATACTGGAATATCAAATTTGAATGCAACTGAAGGACTCGCAATCGCTATAGTTTTAGCATGGCCGACGCGTATTCTCGTCACGAATGTTATTCCATCTGAAGACAACGTTCAATTCGATCCGGAACTAGGGTGCTGCCTTTGCAATTTTGATGCAATGAAAGAATAATCGTTTGTTTTTTGTTCTTTAGTTGCGGTATACTGAATGTCGCTGTAAATCAGCCAAGAAATGTTGCCAATATTGGAGTTTATAGCTATACACAATTAGTAAGGTTGTCATGGAATGGTTTAGTTCAAAAGCCGAATCCAGCTAATAATTTTACTGGAGAAATACAACGTCTTGATCCGGGTCGATATCGAGTTCAATTTGCAGCTTTAAAACATTTTGGCAATTCGAAAAATTTTAGCGATTACGACATATATCGTACATCCCCATTCAATTTAGTATTTTAATTCGAGACGATCATGTACCTCAATTAAACTGTTCTCTTTGCTGTTTAGTTTAATTATTACCCTGGAGTTTTTGTGCTTCTCAATCATCCTCTTTCTCAAATTTCTTTCACAGAGAAAATAATTATATGCCTATATAGCAAGCTTTTGTGACGAATAACCAATTTTGGGAACGTTAAAAACGCTGATATTCCTACTTCTATTGTTAATAATTTAAATATTTACACCAGAAAAACTTTTAGCGCAATCTCTGTGGAATTGAAAACGTGAAACACGTTTGGGCTGGTAAAATGTAGCGCATAGAACAATCTTTTTGTTTGACTTAGTTAGTCACAGTGTGCAGGGAAGAAATGGGTTCCAACTTTCTGCCCATAAACACTAACAGTCGCTTTCAGATCGTCTCTCTCAAAGATTCGTCGTGAGTCAGAAAAACATCGCAAAAGGTCTGGTGTGAAGGTAAGGGAGGAATATTTCTAAGGGCATATTCCACTTTTACTTTCGTAGTGCAGCCGACACTTATAACAGAAAAAAAAAAGAAACATGACTTCTAAGAAACAGTCTGAAAGCTTTTCTTTCCGTCACTTTGATTTCCCATTCGGTTAATAAAAGTCCATCTCATTTAACTTATCTATAAAAGCTATAGCACACATCACTACAAAGCTCATTTGAAAAATTACATTATGGTCGACTTAGACAACATTTTTGTCCTTATACAGGTTTGCACTTTTTTCATTGCAGCTGTATTATTCCTTATCTGTCTTCTACCGATTATATTCGTCGAGCGTTTCCATACACCACATAACATTCTGATAGGAAACTTTTGTTTCACATGTTTCCTATGCTTTTTCTACTGGTTCAACATCGAGCTCATTCGTATCATTAATGTTAAGTTACTTTATACAGCTTTTGACGTTTGTATGTTAATTTATTCTTTGAATGAAATACCAACCTGCTTATTATCCCATTCTCTGGTGGTAATTACTATCAATAGATGCTTTGTCACTCTTTATCCAATGAAAAGATTTTTCAAAAGACGAACTTGGGGTTATTTATCAATATTTGCACAGTGGGCATTTACTCTGCTCTCGATGATCCCGTGGCTCATTTCTTCTTATCAAGTAAAATCAGAAAAATAACAAAGACATGTCTTAATTTTGTTTTTAGGTCTGTTTTTTCGGTATTTTTTGGGATAGTTGGATTTATACCTATATACTAGTCATTATAGTAGTACTTCCCACGATTATTAGCATTGTTTTCAATTTAATTATCTTCATCACTGTTCGATCATCTGCTCGACGTATTCATGAAACAACAACAATCACCGTTCTGTCTGAAACTAACACTTCACGGCAACAACATGCTCGAGAAATGCGACTACTGAAACACATACTTTTCATGTTTGCAGTATTTGTTCTTGGTTGGGCACCACTTTTTGTTGTTCTTGCTCTTCCCAGTGCTATATACCACACAATACCAGGATGGATCATCACTAGTTCACAAATCCCTTCTGCAATCTCTGCAGTGATTCAAGTAGTGGATTTATTTATTTATAATCGTGAGATTCGTCAATATTTGAAAGAACGAATACATCACTGTCTGGGATGGATTTGTGCGTGACTAAAAGAAAAATTACAAAAGAGATAGTCTGGGACGAAAAAGTGGACGAATGGTTCTCTATAAAACAGGTTTCTCTAATCAATTACAATGTAAAATGTTGAATGTATTGATGTTGTGAATTCGAAAAAAGATTCCCGCTAATCGTGTCGTTTTCTTCTACGCAATATTCTCATTAATATACAGAATTCAATGAAACTCATTTAAGTAGATGAAAATGCTTCGTCACGTTAGAAGAATCAAACCTAGAAAAGCACTTTAATGTAGAGAGAATAGTACGCTGTATGATATCAAGTGAAAGATGATTTTAATTTTTTTGTAAAAAGCTTCAAGCAGAATCCCGGACACACAATTTAATGTGTGAAACATGATGGAACAGGTAAAATTTACATACGTAGAAGAATCGGTTCATTTACTTCCTATAAGCTCCATAAGTGCAAACAGCATACATAATTCTCAGTAGCGACGTTTGAAGCTTTCTAATGTATTATTACTCTTAATTGATAACGCGTCTGTGAGAGACAGATGAAAATGGCCGAACGTCAAAAATATAACTTTCCAAATATGATCTACATATTCTCAAATTATCATTAAAAATATCAGGTTAAGATTATAGAATACAAAACTGTTGACGTTTGGTTTATAAAAGTAACTACCTTGTGCTTACGTGTTTAACGACTAAGGTTACACCTTCACCCTAATTTTCCTTGTGTATAGGCGACCTGTAATAAATGGATCGATGATTATTTAACATTACAGCTCAAATATGCAGAAACTGGAGTAAAATGTTCAGTTATTGACATAGAACGTTCAATGTCTAACTTGATTGTCTCACATCAATTTTGTTGCTCTTAACTTTTAGAGCAGACATTGAATATATGACAAGTTATTGTAGAAATAGTCTGTAATATTACACGATGATCAACTAAATATTAATGACAGAGCACGAAACGTGCCAATCGTTGTTGATAACAGTTCGATTGTGTTCATTCATTTTAACAAATTATCTATAGATTTTATTTGCAAAATATATATTCGTATTACTCAACCGGTGAAAGTACAATCGCTTGTATGATTTTTATTTTGAAACAATTATTTTATGATGTGCATAAGCGATCACGAATAATGACGAATAAGAGAACGTAAAGAAATTTAATCTTTGCTCTCTCTTATACTTTCCCTCGTGTTGATAGTATACGATGGCATGCAGGTTTGCGAAGCGTACCGGTGTTCCAACTCGCCCTAATCCTAGTTCAAAGCACATTGCTCGCATCATCCATGACACTCGTCATATTTGAATGACACCATTAGACTAGAAATATCGAAGCGTTGTTCCAGATTATACACAATAATCCAATCGAATAAAAGCGTGAATCGCTACTAATAATCGCTCAGAAGTAGGACAAATATCTGAATTAAGTTTTCATTTCAATGATGTTCTTACAATGCTTCTTCACAATACGTGACCATAGACATGTGACACATTCTTAAAATATTCGTGTGACTCACGGTCCATCTCTTATATTGATCAGAATCTTCGAACTAGATCGTGATTTATGCTGACCATTTATGGTATAAACGCTAAATATGTGATCAAAGTATAATACATGCTTACAATTTATTCAAGTATTTCAGTTCAACCTTATAGTGCCGTGTTCGGCAATGATGCATTATTTCGCTACATGATGGAAACGTTAGACGTGGTTGCCATTATTCAGAATATACGTGTTCAACGTTAATATGAACTATTCTCCTGATATACGATGTCTAATTGCATAGTCAATGACGAAGATATTCTTCGGCTCACGCTTCAGAGAAAAAGAAAAGCTCACTCTTCTTACTCACGATAGATGTTTTTCTGCAATGAAGGCGAAGAATCACTGCTGTCTGAGGACATGTGCACATAACATAAATTCTTATACTTATTCCTGCCAAATACATTGGCAACTATATATAACAGATGATTACATTCGCTGCAAGTTGGATAGCGTTCATTGAAAATAACGCTTGCCTATGACACAATAGTCCTAGTAGTGTGTCGCAAATGGTACTAATATAAACCAGACGACTAGTGCTTCGTCGACTTATCAAAGCATTTGGCAAAGTAACTAATATTCGATCAATTGAAGCTAGAACCAGGAAAGTTGGACGCAGAAGGCCTTATATATAGCAAATCAACACAGATCTAAATTGCTTATAACAGATTTAAAGCTATAACCAAGAGACAAAACAGCTGGTGAAATGAGCCTAATAATACATGTGAAATACTGTCATATAAATCAAGCATGAATTTTTTCAAAGACTTTTTCGTATTGAAGACTGTCACACGAAGTACACAGCTGATAGCATCCAATACTATCATAAAGGAACCTGCATACTGGAACAAGTATTGTTGCACTTGTTGTAGTAAGACGACGTAGTTGTTGGGCGCGTATCGTGAGGACATGGTTACGGGTGATAGTTGGTGAACTAATACCATTACACATACATGCGCCCGCTTCGCCGTATAATCTACAACAAAATCGAGAACGACTCCTATAGGTATTTCTCTTTTTTATCACGTCATTTTCAGCATTTAATATTGATTATTTGAAGTACTCTAATTAACATATATAGTACTTTTTCTCAATAAAGTCATTAAAACGTGAGTCAACGAATCTGAAGTAATCTGATGACTGCTCTAGCTGTTAGATACATAATTGAGAACTTGTTGATTGATAGACAATTTCATGTTGAATTTCAAAAAGGAAAGGGTGATTAATTAAAAACAGCACGCTGGAAACACTCCTACAGAATCAAGTGTAGAAGCAAGCAGTTTGTTAACCCCATGTAGACTGGTTATGACTATTGTGAATGCGAATAATTTCCATTGAGTTATTAACTAAAAGTAAGTATCTACGTTAATTACTGAACTTCATTTTCTGTACACTTCAGCATTTTGAGCGATCATCTCCTATGCAGATGTATTTGGGAACCACCAAAGTCTGATATTCGACAATAAAACTGAAACACATGTTCGTCGCTCTTGAAATGATTCCGAGATAGAAGTATTCTTCTGATAAATCGTGTCGCATTAACGCTTAAAGACCGAGATGCCCCTTCCATGGGATATTGTATAATTGACTGTAGAGCAAAATAAATAATTCTCATCCACAGACGCTACTATTTTCTGAAAGCAAAATAGACAGAGTGAAAGTATGATGAAGAAAAGCCGTGTTAAAATAATCGGCAAAGCAGCTAAAAATTTTTCTTTTGTTACTTCATAGGAAACTCCTTCGGTTTGTAAGGATTAATATGTCATTTATTAGTTGCATAAGAATAGAAATTTCATGACTACATATCGACTACAATGACATTAATAACCAAACAACCACGTTTGAAACAAACACGCAGAGCGAAACAAAGCTGAAAACTAAATAATTTAAAATATTGCATTTGGCTTCCACATCTTTTTTTATTTTGCTTTTTGTTTTGTCTCGATCAAAATTGACTTGACAAGTTTCACATCGATCACAGAAATTGCATTTTGCATTTATTTTTGCCTTCGTCTTGTTAACATGTTCAGAATTCGATGGCACATCATTTGTATCACCTGTAACAGATTCGACATCATCTTTCGGATTCATTTGTGATTTATCAGCATTTTCCACCACTACTCGTCTGCGAAGACATGGGAACAATGCCCTTTCACAAGACATACATCGATGTCTTGTTGTTTCTGCATCGTCCGAACTCATCAATTCGCCTTTCTTCACATTTGAATCGGTTTGCTTTGACTTCGAGAAACCGTTAGCAGATATTCTTTGTAATAATCCAGAGAAGTCAAAAAGTAATTTGGGCAATTCACCCTTCGATGTGAAATAGTTACATATAACAAACCATAACATTGATATCAATGTCCAACACATTGATAATATGAAATACAATGTTATCATCATCAAATATTCTGATTGTTGTGGAAACAGATTCGAGAAAGTGAGTGAATTGACCGAGTATGTCATAAAACAGGTCATACCTAAAATAGAAAGGTGATTTTTTCAAGTAAAGAAATAATAATAGTTCTGCTCAAAATGGCACTTTATTCTCGATTGTTCAAATAAGAAAACATGCTTACATAGACCAATTTGTGAGGTAAATGGTAAGCCAAATGCCAATAAAGTAACACAATTCAAGATTAAACATGTAAATATACCATTCATGATATAAAATAATGGTTTTCTCTTCAAATATAAGTTTATTGTTATGACATCATTAGAAGCATCTTCATACGGCACTCGATCGGATTTTCTGATTACATCCAACGAGACGTTCTTTAATTTCCACAAGGGATGTTCAATATAGTCCGTGATATCAATGACTAAACTAGCATTTTCTGTGTAAATAATTCGATTCGATCCTTGACTCCATGAGGTCAGATTGATGCTACACATTTGATAATCGAATGGAAAATTTCGAATGAGTAAACTACATCGTGTTTTCACTGCTAATGCTGGTAGTATCATATAAACGCTGCCTGTGAAATGAACAGACGCTAAACTGTACGTGTTGATTGTCAAGTAACCACTCGAGTCTGCTGAATTTAATATCATTGTATCGGGTATCCATAAGCTTTGAACTGGTAACATGACGACGCTTATATTATCGTTTGTACTCGGTGTCCATGACAATCGCTCGTCAACCCATGCTTGTGAGATAAATGAACTAGACGTCATTATTTGTTGTTTTTCGTCGAGAGAAACTATTTGTTGCAATGAAGCTGTGATATCCACATATACTGGAGTATCTGGTTTGATATTTTTGTTGTATCCGCTCAATAAACTTGTCATCAATGTTTGCTCCGACAACTGCGTGGCGGATAGTGTTCCGCAATTATACAAATGACAAGAATAACAGAAAAAAATGATAAAAGGTATCACTGTCGTCATGACAAGACTATTCTCTGTAAATTAGGATGCTACTACTGGAGAAAACCTTTTCAATGAGCCGATCGGTTTTTTCATTTG